GATCAAGAAGGAGAACTTGAAGAGCAAAATGCTGTCTATTAAATGTACCTTGTGTCTACCAGAGCAACAGGACTGAGTGAAGCCTACAGAAACCTTCCCGGTGGTTCTTCTGCTTTATGTCTCACAGTATATTATATTTCACTGCTCTGCTGGATGTTGTATCAGGATATAACTCTCCTCTGGACTCCCACCAGATTCCCTCTCGGCGTCCGATCTGACTTCTTTTTGTTTTTTGTTTTTTTTTCCTTCCTCTCACTGTCACTCTCCCGCTGTTCTCCATTTACTCTGTTTCACTCCATGTCGGTGTCAACGCTCCCCTCCTCCTCCTCCTCTGTTCTCTCTGTCTAAAGATGGTGAGTATGGAACAGCAGAAAAAACACCTGGAGAAAACTTTCCCTCCTCCTTTTTTTTTTCTTCCTTTCTTCCCTCTTGTGCAGTGCTTTCTCTTAGTGTGTGTGAACTGGTGACCAAAAATAATTTGAACGAAAACGATTGAATTTCCTCAAATTTTCTGCCGCAGCTTTTTTTTTTTAAAAAAAAGGAGTTTGGTGACATTTCCGCCATAAAGAAAGTACCTCCTCCTGTTTTTTTTTTACTCCCTCGTCGGCCTGCCTTTTGCTCCTCTACAGTTTTTTGCTAAATCTCTCAGAAACTCGCACGTCTCCCCCTCCTGCTCTGTTAGAAAGGCCTCCCTGTTGAATGTGTGAACCCACCTCCTCTCCCCGAACCTGCATCCGATCACTCAATGTCTGCCCCGTCCTCCCTCCCTCTCTTTTTTTTCTCTCCTCCATCTTTCCCTCTCTGCATCACTTCTCTCTCCTTCTTCCTTTCTTTTCTCCCTTCCTTCCTGTCTGTCTATCCATCCCTCTTTCTCTCTCTCTGTGTCTCTCTCTCTCCCACAGACAGCAGCGACAGCGACCTGGAGCTGTCCACGGTGCGTCACCAGCCGGAGGGTCTGGATCAGCTGCAGGCTCAGACTAAGTTCACCAGGAAGGAGCTCCAGTCTCTGTACCGAGGGTTCAAGAACGTATGTCTGGCTGCCGCTGCTGCTGCTGCTGCTCTTATTTCTCGGCTTTATATAGACTCGAATTATTCTAACATACGTCGTTTTCCTCCCTCTCTTGAGCAGGAGTGTCCCAGTGGGCTGGTTGATGAGGAGACATTCAAGACCATCTATTCTCAGTTCTTTCCCCAAGGAGGTTAGATGTTAAAACAATCTCTCCTTTCTTGTCCTTTCTTATCAGGGACGATGGTGCAAAAGATAATAATCAGGGTGGAGGGTGGAGGGCGATGCGTTGTGCTCGGGGTGGTTTTTAATTTTTAAATGCACACATTTAGAACAGAATACTTTATTGAGCCCCCTGTGGAGCTCATCGGGGATGTCCGGTCTGTCCCACGATGGTGGCCCGGCCCGGCCCGGCCCGGCTCGGCGCCAACAGCTGTTCACGAGTGTAAAAACAATAGAGCCATCAACGGCTCGCCAGACCCCAAAAACTCACAAAAAACAGCAAAGAACAGACCAACAAAAATGCCATCTGCATCTCCACAAATGTGGTGCAGCTGAGTGAAATTAAAATAGTAAAAAGATTAAAGAAAAACCAAAGTAAATAGATTAAAACACAGAAAGTAGGAAGGAGCTGCTGCAACTGGCTGCAACAAGATAGGTCATGTTTTTGGTAGTTACTCATTTTTAATAAAGTTTTATAGGCTTTATTTTACTTTATATTTAATTTTGTACATTTTTTTTTGCAACCCTAACCCTAAAATCACGTTAGATTGTCCCATTGTAAAAAGGTAGAGAAGGTAGAACCCTTTGACCCAGTAAAATCTCACATTTGGGTTTTAGCAAGATTTGCTATATCAGGTTAAAGGGACTGCACACTAGGAAGGCCGTCAGGAACATCACAGACGCCGATGAAAAGGCGTGAAGATGGCTGTGGATCAGGCAAGGTGATCCACAAGCCACGCAGACACAAGCTGGGTCTGATCAGCCCTGACTGGGTCGCCTGGGAGAGGGTCTATGAGACCCGAAACACCCAGTGACCCCAGGATACATCACTGAAGATGTGTCTTAGAGTTGGAGTGTATGTTCAGAACTTGGCAGTGGATTCATTTAGATTGATAGTAATGGGAAATATGTTTTTTTTTTTTATATATTTACAATATCAAAGACAAAGTTTAACCTAAAGCTGAGGTTTACACTCATCTGTGCACGCTCATCGCTGCACAAGCAACCCAGAGCGATCCGTATATCGGCGAGTTGCACAAAACGGGAATCTGGAGTGTTTTTATAAAGTCGTGTTCCCGACCTCGACACAGGTCATTAAGATCTGCCTGACGATCCCGATTAACGACTGAGTGGTTCTTCTTTGTGCTGAGACGATCCCACACATCGCTGAGGTGCACAAAGACTGGCTTCAGCATCTTAAAGCTGAGTTACAGTCGCGTCGTTGATCGCTTTGCCAACAACAAACCAACCAGTTTGGGCTTTGGAGAATACAACAGAATATATTGTTTACTTTGGTTATTTTGTCATATATTTTTTATTTTTGATATTTGACTAAAGTCAAGAAATTATTGTTTGGATTTTTTTTGTTATTATTATTTATGTGGAATGGAGAATAACGCAAAGTAGAACAGTTTAATGATCTGAGTCACATTTTGTTATTTTTTCTATTTGCATGGTTTGACTTTTACACCTAAAAACATGTTGTTCCTAATGTTCAGCACATTTCATGCACACAGCAAGAAAAAAAAAAGGTTTTAGTCATGTGGGAACTGTGCCTCAGTACAGCCCTGTGACGAAGCAGATTCAGCAAGACGTACTTATAATATGAGAAGTAAGAATAGTGATGGATGTCCCCTTTCTTTTTTTTTTTTTTTAAATTTGGAGTCACATGTGCGATACATCACATACAATCCTCTTAATCACAGATAATTATATTTCCACAGTGACCCATTTTCCTTTTTCTTTTTCACAACACATTTTGTACAATCACATGAAGCAAAAACAATAAAAGAATAAAAAAACACCTTAATATCCAGACAATCAGGTGAATGAAATAAATCTTAAACAAAAGAGGGGTGTCTCAGGGAAATTTCCAATCCTTCCAAATAGCTTCAAATTTGGACTGTTGCAGAGAAAAAGTTATTCTCTCCATTACAAATATTTAATAAATTATGTCATACCAGTCCTCTGGCGTTTCTTGGTAACAGCTTTCCTAGCAGCCACACTTAGTAAACCAAACAGCTAGCTTGCTTTAACACCCATAACTATAGAGCGTGTGAAACCAAAAAGGAGTTAAATGTGATATCCAACCCAAATAAAGTCACTAATTCTGAATCAATCTTACGCCAAAAAACTTTTGGACAGGCCCGAAACAAGTGGTAATGATCGGCCTCCTGGGAGCCACATGACCTCCTGGAAGAGCCTGAACGATGCCCCCGTTTCATTGTTGATTTGTAGATTATGCTGTTTATTGTTAAATTACGTGGCGTCGTCTTGTTGTATCTGGTCAGTTTTAGCTAGTTTTAAGCAGTTCGGGCTTAAACAGTGCAAACCCCTTCGTAAAATAAACACAATTCCTGATATAACCGAGTCTTTACAATCCTATGTTCCTGACAAGAGGGAACAAATCTAAGAAACGGTGCCTGTCTAAAAGCTGACAATAAAAAGTACGGTACATGTCGCTGCACTAGTAGAAACAAATGTGAGGACTTAAAAATAATTTCCATGCACTTAAAATCTGAATTCTTTAGGGAAGAAATGCATCATAGTTTAAATGTGATCATATATCTTGAAACGTAACCAGCGCTTATACTTGGTACATAAATATAACAGAGTAAAAAGATACCCATAAAGAGTCAAACAGAACCTCCACACCTCCTCCTTTCTTTTGCTGTTCATGTGAGCTTTGGGAGGAACCACACACTAACTCTACATTTCCTTCCATCCACAGATGCGACCACCTACGCTCACTTCCTGTTCAACGCGTTCGACATCGACAGGAACGGCTCGATCCGCTTCGAGGACTTTGTCATCGGCCTGTCGGTGCTGCTCAGAGGCTCGGTCACCGAGAAGCTCAACTGGGCCTTCAACCTCTACGACATCAACAAGGACGGCTACATCACCAAAGAGGTACTGGGACGAACAGGATTGTGAACAGGAGAGTGCTGCAGTTTTTGATTTTATTCCGTAGAGGATAATGTAGAAAGATCACGAGGACAAGCAGTTCACATGCATCAGAGGTTGAAGACACCAATGTGTTACACCCACTGCTGTCCGATATGGATTCATGCATAGACGGAGCAAATGATGATAGAATAGATCTTTAATGTCATTGTTATGGAACAAAGAAAGGTGGTTTCGCTGCTCTTGGAATCAGCAGCAGACATTGTATTGTCTTTTGAATGGGGGGTTGTGTGTATTTAACAACCTGTGGGAGGAAATGTTTTTTTAGTCTCTTTGATGTCGTTCGTTGAGTTAGCCGGTTGGACAAGGTGGCATTCAGAGAGTTTCTTTATGACCGTCTTTTCTGGTTGAAGCCAAGAACTTCCAAATACAGGAAGTGACGTGGAGGAGGCGGGAGTGGCACCACAAAACCTGATTTAAAATGAGGACGGTTGCAAGGATGCTGTTGCCAAGCAGGGTTTAAGAAAATGAAACTGATGGTCAAGATTGGCACAGAAATCTACATCCTGTATTTTTGTCAGTATCAAACCATATCCAGACTAACTGAGAGCATGCTGCCATATGGGATGTTTGCATCCATATGACATGTACAAAATTCCCTGCCAGAGAATTTAGTTAATTTCAGGATTTTAGAATTTTTTCACGAAAGCCTCTGGGATCAGCGTCCAGACCTGGGAGACCACTGCTGAGTCAAGAGGTTCCTGGAACGCTGCTGTTGTGAGCCAAAACAAGCCGAGATGTCACGCAGTGCCCAACTAAGGCCAAAGAGGGAAACATGCAAGTCTTCCCAACAAGATGGAGAAGCCTCCGTACACATCTGTTTCTCATGCCAACAAGATTCATGCCACTCCAGCATCGGCTTGTTTAGCCACGCCAGGAAGTGACTGAACACGGTGCATCGTCTCGGAAGGAGGCCGACGAGATTTCTTGATTTAAAATAAAAATAAATGTCATCATCTGTGTGTCAAATGGGATATTTTGACACAATCGGACCTAATCGTGCATCTTACGGTTAAATCCTAATTCCAGGGCAACAACTTAATTCATAACTTCACTTCCTTTAAATGTGTCTTTACCGTGTACGTGTGATGGGATCTATTACCATGAAACTCTTCTGTCCTCTTCTGTGCAGGAGATGCTGGCGATTATGAAGTCGATCTACGACATGATGGGGAGGTACACGTACCCCTGCGTGCGGGACGAAGCGCCGTCCGAACACGTCGACAAGTTCTTCCAGGTTCTCGAAGCGCACGAATAACAAACAAACAAACAAACACGGAGCCACGAGGCTAGCTGAAAGCGCTCCTTCTAACGCTCGTTCTTCTTTCTTTTTCCAAAAGAAAATGGACAAAAACCGAGATGGCGTGGTGACCATCGAGGAGTTCATCGAGACCTGTCAGAAGGTGACTCACTTTTTCACCCAAACCCGTGAACACATGTAGTTTACAGCAGGTCAGGGACCCACAATCAGCATCAGTGACAACACAATGTGATTGACGATGACTCAGAAGCTTCAGTAAAACCATCACTCGTGTTTTACAGAAACATTGACATCACACCGAGGCGCTCCCTGTTCTCGTTAAAATCGCGTTTATCTTTAAATCAGCTTCACTTTTATTCCTGTTTGTCACCACCGCTGTTTCCTACGATCACCGTGTAGCTACACAAATACTGTCAGGTGAAGGAGACGAGATTGAACCTCATCTCCTCTCTGAACACCTGCAGCTATTCTTGGGCTCATTTTATTGTCAGAGCGGCTCTGATGCTTCCACCAACACTCACAGAAAAACGAAGAAGATGAAAAAAACTTTATGCATTTTGGTTTCATTACAAACTAACGCTTTGCCTCCAAACTGTTTACAAATGTTTTAAATGCTCATCAGAAGCCAGAGTTCCCAAACATACCAACTCTATCAGGCTCATCTTTTTTCCTCCATGATTTCACAATATTAAAAACCACAAATTCTTTGGTTTAAATCCAAAATAAAATCCAGAGAATGCATTCCTGATGGAGAAAGTGGGACTGAAGTGCCAAAACAAGTGGTTATCAGAGGAGTGTTTCTCTCACTGTAAACATAGATTGAACTGGAACAAACTGATGCTAATTAATCTGTCACTTATTGTACTAACCTCATTCTGAGATGAGATAAACTTTATTGATCCCCGAGCAGGGAAATTCACATTACAGCAGCCAGATATGAATGAAGCACAGCAGAGAACAAGATCTCAGTGAGGATAAACATATATTAGTACGCTTCTCATGTACAGATATAACAAGACACCCGTTCTACTGTTGTTCTTCTCTTCTGCTCTGTGGATAGAAGGTGTAATAGATGCAGAAATTATTAATGCAGAGTAAGTTAAAGACGGAGCCACTTGTACGTATAATCGTCCTGTTGTTCCTCCTGTTTTGGGGTCAGTAAAAAAAACAACTGTTGCTTCAAACTCCACTGAGCTTCAGCTGAACCAAATATCACTCAGAACCAGAGGGAACTGTTTTATAGCAGTTTGGCTGAAATGTGATCACAAACTGTTCATCTTTAAATTATGTTCATTCCCCCAAAAGACGACCATCTGTTTATATATTGAAATGTATAAATTAAATACGTGGGGTTTTTTATCGCTCAGGTTCAATGCTTGACTTTTGTGAAAATAAGACTTTGTTATGTCTCCTTTACTTTCAATAATACACCAGAGACCAGAGAAAGAGTTAAGTTCCCTTATAGGCTCAACTGACCAATACAACAGTTCCTATGGCAGTGTGTGCAGGGGTACTACGGTAGCCCAGCAGGGACAAACTTAAGATGTCAATACATAACAGACTTCATGTGTTTTTTGGTTTGTTTGGGTTTTTTGGCAAATTAAAGTTAGACACCATTAAGGTCAGCCCTAGTTGGAGAAGCTCCTCCTGCAAATGCATTAATATATTAATTATTTTATATATAAAACACTTTATTTACTTATGATCTACTCCAGTACAAGATTTTCTTTATGTTTTCTTTAAAAAGAACTGCGATACATGCACACTTTTTTTTTTTTAACTCAAAATATCAAACTGGATGGATGGATGGATGGAAATATCAAACTACATTTTCAGTGAGTGATACATGACTCGGCTTTTATTTGCTTCTATCTGATTTCCGGCCGCTGCTTTTAGCGCTGACGCACGCCGAAGACGTCTCTCTGTACTTTAATAAGAACATGTTTTTACAGCTCCCAAAGCTGTAAAAACTGAATTGAGCAACAGTGGAAGTTTTCTTTCCGCCGACATTGGTGGGAAGCTGTCGGAAAAAGGCTTAATATGTGACTTTTGCACCTTTGTTTTAATTGTTTTGCCCCCAAAAAATGGGATTATATAGTTTGAATTGCTCTGTCATGGTCGGTTTGCTTCCTGGGATTAAACTGTGTCAGCACACTCCTGTGTTTGCTTGTCCTTTTGAATGTCAGCGGAAATCTGACTCACATGGGGTCATTTTGAGACGTTCTGTCTGTGTGCTTAGTTTACGACAAAGTCAAACATTGTGCAACAAATCTGCAGCTGCTCTGACGCGCTTTCCATCAAAAAGGAATTCAGATACTTGACAAAACTATTTGTATATTTTGGGGGGGGGAAAAAAAAGGAGGAACATTTTAAGTGTCTCCTCTTACATGTAGTTTTTTTGCAGCTTGTTCTGTGTTCAAAAATTACCAAAACAATGTATAGATAATATTAATATTGCTAAGGTTTTCATGCAGAAAGCAAATCTACAACTGTCTGCTGTCTTCAGTCCCAGATATCTAGAGTCTTAACCAGTTTTAAAGTCAATCCATCATAAACAACACACAACTAAAGACACACAGACATTAAATTGATCATCTGTATTGTGATACTACTATTTTTACTAGTAGTTTATTACATTACAGCACAAACAACTGAGAAAAGTAACTCATTAACTCAGTATTTTGGCGCTAAACAAAACGCCCTCCTTTGAAACTCTTTGTGATTTTCCGTTTTATTGTCCAGCGGCAGCGCAGCCTCTTTTAATTTGTTGACTTTAACTTATTGCATGACCCAGTTTATGACACATAATCTGTAACTCTTTAGATTAATAACAACAGTGACAGACGCTTTATCTCTTTTACAGCTATTTATGAAAGAATGACTCTGTGTTTTATTACAAGTAAACATAAGATCAAGAGGGCATGCAG